TTTTTGGGGAGGGGTTATGGAGGAGAGGGGCAGGGGGGGGGGGGGGGGCGTAACAGAAGAGATTGACGACGAGGAGAGGCTGTGTTTTGGGCTGACATAAAGAAGAGAGGGTGAGGACGAGACGAGAGAAGGTTCCAAAAACAAATGGGGGTGGGATATAGACCGGACTGTACAGACAGACTTTGGGCCCTTGGGAAACTTGGAAAGCGGCTCCGCATCGCCGCACTTGAGCAAGAGTACATCACGGATGTCATCGTACGCGGCTACGTGCCCCAGGCTCCTCCTCTCTGTTTTTCCGACGCAACCCCTCATCCACACCACACCCGAGCATCGAAAAGCGATGCTTCGAGTACACAACGCGAGCATGCAGTCTTAGCGAGGGGAGGGCGGCGTTTCCTTACGAGGGCGTCCAATTTTCTGCTCCACTTTTCTCTCTCCTCGCCTGTGCAGAAAGAAGTCTCCGTGCTCGTAAACGCCGATGAGGCGGGTCGGCGGGGGCGGGTCGTCTGCCGCGGGGCCGTCCATGATCTTGTCGCCGCTCCCGCCGGGAAGCACGCGTCCGAAGTAGGCGATGCGGTTGTGGTATTCCTCCAGGTGCTGCTTCTCCAGCTCCACCTCTAGGCCTGTTAGATGGAGAGCAAGAGAGACAGTATTGAGACAGAGAGATAAGGCGGAGAGAGAGAGAGAGAGAGAGACAAGCAGACAGACAGGACAGGACAGGACAGAAAGAAAGCCAGACAGCGAGACAGACAGACGGATTCGCGGACGGACGGATGGTCGGAAACACACCAACAACAAGCCGAGAGAATGGGCGAGAAATCCTACAGAATGGCGGGGTTGTGCAGGAGGAGGGGGGGGGGGGGGGGGGGCGCGTTCGCTGGTCCAGCAAGCCGCCACAAAACGAAAACAAACGACACAAGCAGACACAGACAGACACACATGACGCCTCCTCACGGGCCCCCAGATCATATCAAAGCCTTGAGGATCACTCTGTGTTTTCAACCGCACTGAAACTGAACAACACACACACGAAGCAATGGCCCACACAAGGCAACACGACGACGAAAGAGGGCAGGACGATTTATCATCATCTTCTCCCTCTATTTCTCACCCGGGAGAGACAGGCGGCCCGAGATGCAGAAAGGGATGCGCTGCTCGTTCCAGATGGAGTCCCCGCCGCCGGTGATGAGCAAGCCCCACCCCCTCCCGTCTCCCGGGGGCAGGGGTTGAAAGACGAGCCGCACGCTCTTCCACCTGGTGTTGCTTTGCCCTCCCCTGCCACAAGAAAGAGAGAGAGAGACAGACAGACAGACAGGCCGAGAGAGGGAGAGAGGATACGTGCAAACGTTGCCATAGTTGTCGGTGTTGTCCTTCCGTCCCCAATACAACATGCTGGGTCACCATAAATGCTGGGCACCGTAGACAGTCTTCGGCGTGATACCTTCCCAGAAGAACATAAAATTGTTATGTCTCGCCAATCAAGTTTTCGTCTGACGTGTTTTCCGACACCTACAATTTCCGGGCTGGTTCCTCCGATCTAGACACAGGCTTGCCGTCTTCGTAAGAAAGAGGCTAGCTACTCCATGAGGGGCACGGCGGATGGGAATGATATTAAGTATATATGCCCGAGTAGGTTCTCCCCCCCCCCCCCTACA